GTCTCATTTCTCCTAAACAAGCAGGAGGCAGTGGAATGATGCCTGAGCTGGTCTCAGGAGACCGGGGCTCTGATCCTCGTTCTGATGATAGCTGGCTGTGCAATCTTGGGGAAGGTACTCCCCTTTTCTGGGGCTGGGTTTCTCATCAGTAAGGCAGGACTGAGATGGGGGAGAGGAGTCAGACCATCCAGGTGCCTTCTCACCCTGCTTTCCATTCCTGCTTCTGTGACTCTCTGGGCCTGGAAGAGCCAAGCCTTCTCTCTACAATGACCCAGTGCCTCCCCATCTTTCTTCCTGCTGCCTCCCTGAGCAGGACCAACTCTCCCCTCCTCCTGTACAATGTAGAACTCCCACACGGTGTGGCCGAGGAAGCCCTTGCTGTAAGGATGTGCACTCGACTCAAATCCAGCCCTGTTTGTTCATCTTCTGGCTTCACACACCACACCTTCATCCCAACCACCACCCACCATGTGTCAGGCACTGTGCTAAGATCTCTCACCAAATCCTTGCAACAGCCCCAGGACATGGGTACTCTTATTCTCCCCATTTTGCAGATGAAAAAACTGAGGCTCAGAGATGTGAAGTGGCTTATCCATGGCCACTGAGCTGCTAAATAGCAGGACCTGGATGGAAGTCAGAACTTCTGACCTCCTACTCAGTTCTTACAAATCAAACATTTGTTGGCAGAAGGTAGAATAATTGCAAAAGGAACTCGTCTGTATTTGTCAGCTTTGCTACATAACAAACCATGCCCAAAGCTCAGTGACTTGCAATACATGTTTCTTGTTTACTTTACGAGTGAACAGACTATGGGTAAGATGCAGATCAGCTGTAGATCAGTGATGTTACATGAATTTCCTTGATCTAAGGTCCAGGACTAAATAGGGCGTGCATACTTGTGCCAGAACTGAAAGAACCACATAGTCAAATGTAAGCCTTCTGCTCAGAGTTGGCACATATCATAACAGCTCACACTCTGTTGGCCAAAGCAAGTGACATGGCCAAGCCCAACATCAGGGAGGTATAGGGGCAAGAAGGCATTACAATTGGCCATAAAACACTGGGTTGTGCGGTCAGATGCCTGGGTCTGGCTCCTGGCTCTATCATTAGTAGTTCTGTGACCTTCAGCAAGGTACTTCACCACCCTGTGCCTCAGCTTCCTCATCTGTAAAGTAGGGATGATAATTATAGCCCTGTGTTAGTTTTCTAGGGCTTCCATAACAACATACCACACATTGCATGGCTTAAATGACAGAAATTTACTTTCTCGCAGTTCTGGAGACTTGAAGTCCATGATCGAGGTGTCATCAGGGTTGGTTTCTGGTGAGGGCTCTCTTCCAGGCTTGCAGATGGCATCTTCTCACTGTGTCCTCACATGGCCTTTCTTCTGTGCACACAGAGAGAGAAATCTCTGGTGTCTCTTCCTTTTCTCAGAAAGACACCATTTCTATCAGATTAGGTCACTATATTAGTCCATTTCTGTTGCTTGTAACAAAATACTCGGAACTGGATATTTTATAAAGGAAACAAAATTTATTGCTTATAGTTTTGGAGGCTGGGAAGTCCAAAGTCCAGGGAACACATCTGGTGAGAGTCTTCTTTGATTGTGGCTTTACAGCAATGCAGGGATCTCACATGGCAGAAAATGGTAGAGCAGAGAGAGAGACTTTCACGTGGTCTTCTTTTAAAGCCCTCAGAACCATGCCTCTGACCACCATTATTAATCCATTCACTACTACATGGTCCTACAATCTAATCACCTCTTCAAGGATCCACCTTTCAATTACCATAATAGGATTTCCCACCCTCAACAGTTGCAGTGAGGATTAAACTTCTAATATATGAACTTTGGGGGACACAATTCAGTCAATCCACAGCAGCCACTACATATATGACCTCAGTTAACCTTACTACCTTCCTGAAGGCTCTAAGTACAGTCATATTGGCACTAATAGCAACCTAGCTTTTATCCAATGCTTCCTGGAAAGCCAGATACTGTCCTAAGTCTCTAATGCACTTAAATCATGACAACATAGGATCTTTCTAGGGGCTGAGTTGTGTCCCTTCCCAAATTCATATTCTGAAGCCCTAGCCCCCAATGAGACTGCATAGGCATCAGGAGAACTCACTCTTTCTGCCTTGTGTCTGGGAAGTTTCTGAGTCTTGATTATGAGCTCGAATGTTTTCTTAACCATGAGTAGCCACTCATAGGTGTGAAACACCAGGCTNGGAACACATCTGGTGAGAGTCTTCTTTGATTGTGGCTTTACAGCAATGCAGGGATCTCACACGGCAGAAAATGGTGGAGCAGAGAGAGAGACTTTCACGTGGTCTTCTTTTAAAGCCCTCAGAACCATGCCTCTGACCACCATTATTAATCCATTCACTACTGCATGGTCCTACAATCTAATCACCTCTTCAAGGACCCACCTTTCAATTACCATAATAGGATTTCCCACCCTCAACAGTTGCAGTGAGGATTAAACTTCTAATATATGAACTTTGGGGGACACAATTCAGTCAATCCACAGCAGCCACTACATATATGACCTCAGTTAACCTTACTACCTTCCTGAAGGCTCTATCTCTAAGTACAGTCATATTGGCACTAATAGCAACCTAGCTTTTATCCAATGCTTCCTTGAAAGCCAGATACTGTCCTAAGTCTCTAATGCACTTAAATCATGACAACATAGGATCTTTCTAGGGGCTGAGTTGTGTCCCTTCCCAAATTCATATTCTGAAGCCCTCGCCCCCAATGAGACTGCATAGGCATCAGGAGAACTCACTCTTTCTGCCTTATGTCTGGGAAGTTTCTGAGTCTTGCTTATGAGCTCGAATGTTTTCTTAACCATGAGTAGCCACTCATAGGTGTGAAACACCAGGCTCAGGGCGACCTCTTGGGATTCCACGTCAATACTCAAAACTCCTGCATTGGTTTTTCCTTCCTCATTCGTGTTACCTTTCCCACATCTGGACTCACTTAGGAAGGGCTGTGTCTGAGGCTGTCTGTTTAGCAAGGGATTCTGTGACCTGGGGAAAAGAAGATCAGAGGACACAGGGACAGCCTTTCCAAGCCCCCTGTCTAATGTAGTTCAGCCCAGCAGTGTAGGTAGGAGGGCAGCATGTGAAAGTCCTTGGCCTCCCCCAAGTCGCTGCTAATTAATGATTGATACGATGACTAATCAGAGTATTTTCACTCTCTCAGCCTCAACTTCCTTGTCTGGGAAATGGGAACAAAGACACCTTTCATGAGATGTACAGCATCTGGCCTGGAGTAGATAATACTGATGGTCGTGGTGGCCCGGCCCATTTGCTACATGCCAGGCAGGCTTTAAGCACTTCATATGCATTGACCCTTTTAACCTTCTCAACTATCCTAAGAGGTAGCACCATCGTTATCCCTTCTTTACAGGAGAAGAAACTGAGGCACAATGACGTTAAGTGACTCACCAACGGTGTACAGCCAGCCGTGGTGGAGCTGGGAACTTGACCCAGGTGCTCTGGGTCCCCACCCCTGCCCCTCACTCTCGCATATGCAGCCCTGAGGGCCACCAGACACTGGAATGCCAGGCTGTGTCCCCACCCAGGCTTCCCTGCACGTGAGGGAGAAAGGACACAACCAACACAACACGTGTTGCTTGTTCTGGAAAGTAATTACTTTTAATTAAACTATTTTGCTATTTTTAAAAATTCCTCCTTTCATGTTGTTTCCCTGGAAGGTCAAGGGCAGCCCCGCCCCTTCCCGGCACCTCCTCCCTTCCCTGGCCGGGACAGGCCACAAGGTATTATTAACAGCCGTGGGCCTCTGGGTCACCCATTACTGACCGGGCGGACGTCACCAGCTCAGGTCACCGGCTCAGGCCACCCGCGCAGGTGCACTCAGGTGAGAGGGACAGAAAGAAGCCCAGGCAGTCTTGACCATTCAGAAAGTTGTTCTCATCCTTGTCCCCTGGCAGGAAAGTATTTACTCACCTCCCAGGTGACAGGAGCAAAAGCAGCTGTGACTGACGCTGCTGCAAGCCCACAGTAGAGTATTATTATCAGTTGTTGCTGTCGTGGTTAGTGAGGTCCCCTTCAGCATTTAGAAAAAAGCTAAAACAGCACCACCGCCTCTCTGGATCTCTGATACAAATTTTCTCTCCTTCACAAAACACACAACTGTATTTACTGCCAGTTTGAAGAATATTGCAGAGTCAGAACCCCCACCTACCCCCCACCCAATGTCATCTGTGTCCTCCCACCAGCCCTGTAGTAGGTGCCACCTGCACATGCCTCTGTCCAGGAGAGAGAATGGCCTCTGACCTGTGGCCTGGCTTCCGCTCCCATTCTGTCCTCAACCTCTCTGAGCCTCAGTTTCCTCCTTGGTACAACGGGGAGGCTGGAGCAACCTCAAGGGACTGTTGTTAGGTTAAATAATGTATGAGAGGACTTCAAAAAGCTCGTGGAAAAATAGAATTAAAAGACCTTTTCGTGAACTTTTTGAAGTACTGTCATAGCTGAAAGGGCTTAACCCAGTGCCAGGCACGTGGTAGGTCCCAGATAAAGAGCACACCCTCCTCTTTAGGGTCTACCCCAACCCTGCCCATCCTTCAGGGTTTGGGTCAGGAGCCCCTCATCCTGGCACGTCTTTGATTCATTCCTCCCACCACCCTGACTTTTGCGATAGGTTGAAACTCTTTGGGGCAGGCAGATATCGCGTTGTTAGAACAGGAAGTGGTCTTAGAGATCACACAGTGCAGAGTTTTTGTTTTATAGTTTGGGACACAAAACCTCAACACTCAGGTCCCCTGAGTGCCGTCCATGCTCTTTAGGTAACTATGTTGTCTTCTCCCCACACTGGGAGGCTTGACAGGGCCAAGTCATCCCACATTAGCATTAAATATTGATTGTGCACCTCTGAGCTGAGGACCCTGAGGAAATTCTCATTAGATCTTTACTGTGCTTCCTGGTCGTTGAAGTCTGAGTATTTTCTTCTGTTTTTCAGATGAAGAAACTGTAGCTTGGAGAGGTTAAGGAACTCCACTGAGGTCACACAGCTGGTAAGTGGCAGAGCAGGGGTTACTGTGCTTCCTGGTCGTTGAAGTCTGAGTATTTTCTTCTGTTTTTCAGATGAAGAAACTGAAGCTTGGAGAGGTTAAGGAACTCCACTGAGGTCACACAGCTGGTAAGTGGCAGAGCAGGGGTTTGGACCCGGCTCTCTTTGACTCCAGAAACTGTGTGTTGAATTGCCCTGCTTTTCTTGCCTTAAACCATGTTGATAGGTTTGTCGTCCTCCACCAAAGTGTGGGCTCTCTAAAGGAAAGACCCGTGACTCTGTGTTGTGTTTCGATGATGCTCAGATTCCTGGGAGGACAGGAAAGAATGCCTAGGCAGAGAGCTCAGAAGGGGAGTGATATTTCATGAAGTCAGCCCCACCTCCCCTGGGTGCCCCGGTCAGGACAGATCCAGAGCCACAGCTCACCTGGGTTCAGGAATGTCAGATGCCTGGGTCCGCCTTGCCAGGGAAGTTACTCTGAGGCTCCAGGCGCTCTGGCACCCAGATCCCGTGGGCCCCCGGGGGTCAGGTGCCCCTCATGTGCAGTCAGCTTCACGTCCTGCCCCTGCCACAGAGGAGCACGCAGGCAGCACTCATGGTTGCCTGTCACAGATTTGGGCAGTTACACGGTTAGGCAGTGTGGTTTGTAGTATTTTTAGTTTTGTTGTTTTTGCAAAAGCCAAAGGAAGCCTGTAGGCTGAGCTCTGCCTTCCCCTCTGTGAGGCTGGCTGGTCTGCTTGCTCAGGGACAAACAGAGCTCACCCAGGAGAGGGAAACCTCCAAACGCAAACACCAAGGGTCAGAGGGCACTGGCACCAGCTGGACGCTGTCCCTGGCTGTCCCTGGGCAGGGCTGATTAGAAGTTACCATTAAGATCTTCCCATTTTCCATATGAGGACACTGAGGTCCAGAAACGCCCAAGACCCTCCATCTCTCACAATGCATTAACTCAGAGTGGACCTTTGCCCCTGAGCTCTGAGCTTTGCTGTGTCACAACCCACTCTACCTGTAGTCCATAAAGATTTGTTGAGGACTTACCATTTTTGTTAGCAGAGGGGACGTAGCAGGAAGGAGACATGAACTCGTGGTTTCCTGCTGGGGGAAGACAGACAAACAAGCAAATGAGTAATCCAGTATACAGCAGAGCATCATTTCCTGATGAAGGCTGTGAAGGGGGTTGCAGCAGAGCAAGAGATAGTGACAGTGATACTATTTTAGGGTGACCAGGGAAGGCCTCTCCAAGGAGGGCATTTGGGCAGAACCATAAATGCAGTGAGGGAGCAAGCCATATGGATCTGCAGTAAGAACATTCCTGGTGGATAGCATGTGCAAAGGCCCTGAGGCAGAGTATGCTCAGTGCACCAAAATACTCTTTGAGTCTGATTCACCGCATGTTTGCCTCCCACCCTCCTACCAACAGTTACTGCTCATCTCTACCATCGCCTCCATCTATTGTCTGTAAGTGTCTGTGGGAGTGTGGCAAGGGGAAATGGTTGTGTAGCAAGAAAAATCAAAAACAATTGAAAGGGGCAGAAGATAGGTTTATCTCTAACAGGAAACTAGCTGACAATCCTTAATCCTCTGCACAGCTCACTCTGGTGAAATCTGAAATCGTTTCATGTTCTTGCTTTGCATTTATTCTCAAAGCCATTTTTGAACTAGGACCATGAGTTTTCAGCACATGGTAATCTGCTGTTTCAGGCCCACCTTTCCAAGCAGAGCAGGAGCCTGGATTCAGAAACCACAGGGATAGAAGAAGCAGTTTTGGAGGCTGTATGTTAACCTTGCACTGACCTCAAGAAAGAAAGTCCAGCAGGCAGAGGCAGAGGCCAGAGGCAGACAGATCTCTGCCCTGGCAAGGCCATTAGGCTTAGGCTCCCATCTGTGGGCTCAGTTTCCCCTCCATCAAGTGGTGGCACTAGAACCCACCTGGCTCCTACTGGAGTAGCTCATGGAACTGGGTGTACTGAAGAGACATGACTAAGGAGTTAGGGAACCCCAGTTTTGTCTTGTGCCAATAAAACCAGTGTACAACCTTGGGCAAGTCATGTTCCCTCCCTGCACCTCAGAAAATAAAGCAGAAAGGTGTGATCATCTGTGTGTGCCTCTGTGATCCTGAAATGTTATAAGCCTTTGCCTCCAAGGAAGGCAGCAGCCAGACACAGGCAGAGCCTTCTGTCAGCCCTTTTCTGATTTTGTAGACCTTCTCTCTTGGCAAACAGAAGCCCTGTGAAGGGGGCACTACCTTGATGGTCCTGCCTCGGACACCCAGGCCAGAGCTTCAGGCTGTCCTCACCTCTCCCTGACCTGGGACCTGTGGCTGCAGAACCACAGACTCATTTCTTGGAGCAGTAGAATGTCTTTCTTTCCTCAGGACCCAGTGGACTTATTAAGTCTTCCATTAACTGAATCTCATTCAGCTGGAAAAATAATAATCAGAAAGCAATTCTGCCTGGTTACTGGCTGTGAGCTCCTGAAGCTCAGAAAGCTTTGGCCCTGTGGGTCTCAGAGGCCAGCCCTGCCCCTGTTTCCTCCCTAAGGAGCCGGCAGCCCTATGGTCGATCAGAAAGTTTGTCATCAGGCAGCATCACTGGGTTATCCATCTGTCCATGTATCCATTAAACAAGTACCTGTGAGTGCTGGGCACAGTACCAGCTGTACAGAACTAAACAACACACAGTCTGTGCCCTAAACAGCAGTTCAGGCTCAACCTGACCACTTTCTCCATTTGGACAAACACCAGAGCGTTCTTGGATCCACCTACTCTTGTAGTCACAAAAATGTAAATATTCAGAAACTTTCACCTCTCTATCTTGTCTTTTTTTCCCAAAGTCTGTCCCAAATTTATTGGCTTAACATAGTCTGTACTTATTAACTAAGGCTAAGATTGCCCTCTATTTCAATCCAATTGCTCTTTCTTCTGGTCCATTCCATCTAATACATCCAAGTAGCGAATGAATCCTGGGAAGAAGGCAAGGAGATGGGGACCAAGGAAAAGTTCCTGGGGAAGGGGGTCCCTGATGTGAAGTTCACCAGCTGGGGGGAGGCGTGAGACAGAAAGTCATTTCACCAACAAGGATAATTTTATTGATAATAAAATACATTAATATGTGGAGAGTAGAACAGCATGGGAGTAAGGTCTGGGATTTGATTTTATCCTACGCACTTACAAGCCAGTACATTAGCCTATTAGTGTTTCATGGAGGTGGCAGAAGATATGAGACTCCTGGATCCGAGGTGAGGGCATTTACTACTCACACTCCAACAAGGAGCATGAGCTTCATGTTTGTGTCTATTCTGTTCACCCTCTAAGTCCCACAGGAGCCAGGCAGATGCCTGCACCTGCAATGGGTTTCAATATAGGACAGGAACACTGAATTGGGAATCCATCATTCTGTAGCAAACAGCATGCAAGCCTTTTTGTCCCAAAAGAGACATTTCCTCATGTCCCGTGACTGGTTGCTGCAAATGCAACCCAGGTTCAGAGCAGTCAGAGCTTTGTGATCTTAGTCCACCCAGCAAGATGTGTAGGAATGCAGAGACCCATGGAGGAGTGTCTCCAAACAACAGGGTGGCACTGGAAAAATCTGGATTTGAACCTTAGCTCTAGCACTTACCTCATGTGAGATTGGGTCAGTTGCAAATGCTGGACTTCGCTTAGCTTTGGTTTCCTCAGCTATAAAATGGGGATAATGCTTCCCTTTCAGGTGACTGTTAAAGAGACCCATGGAGGAGTGTCTCCAAACAACAGGGTGGCACTGGAAAAATCTGGATTTGAACCCTAGCTCTAGCACTTACCTCATGTGAGATTGGGTCAGTTGCAAATGCTGGACTTCTCTTAGCTTTGGTTTCCTCAGCTATAAAATGGGGATAATGCTTCCCTTTCAGGTGACTGTTAAAGATAGTGTACACATATTGTCACTCTTCTAGGATCACAGTGAGGAATAAAAGAAAGTCCCTGAGCTCAAGAAACTTGTTGCATGGCGAGTCCTTTCAGCTACACATAAATATGTAATTTTGGGTAGTTACAAGTGTGGTAAGGAACACTGAGGTGGGGAAAAGGTAATACACATCAGGGTTCAGGGAAGGTTTCTCCAAGGAGTTGACATTTAACCTAGCATCCTGCACTGAGTAAAGGAGTGACCTTGATATCTGTGAGAAGAGAATTCTGGGCAGGGCAGACGGCCTATGCATGGGTCCTGTGGCTGACGTGCTTGAGGAATAGTGTGGAGGCTGGTGTGGCTCAAGAGAGCGAGCAAAGAGAAGGTGTAGAAATGGAGTCAAGAGTGGGCAGGGGGCAGTTCATGTAGGACCTTGCAAGCCGTGATGAGAGCCTTGGAGTTCATTCCAGGTGTGGATGGAACCCACTGGAGGCTTTGGAGCAGGTGAGAGCATGAACAGAGAATCGCAAGGAGAAGGGCAGGAGAGGGTGCAAGACCTGGGATTTGGCGCAAGGCAGCCTGCCAGTGTTTCATGGATCCTGGCAGGAGATACGAGGCTCCTGGGTCAGAAACAAGGGGCTATCATAAAGTGGGAAAGATCTCCTTCGTCCCTGGAGCCTGAGCTCCGAGTGAACCCTAACAGATTTGAGGGACAATGATGGTTCAGCCAATATTTCCAGAGGCTGAGCTCAGCAAACAGAAGGGAGTGAAGATTCTTGAGACAGATCCTATACCTTAGTTTATAAGAAGGTTCTTATTCTCTCTCAGCCTGCGTGCCTTGTCTGTGAAATAGGGAGAACCTGGGTACCCGGGCATATTGTGGGGACCTCGTAAATACTAGTTGAATCTGAAGACCATGTGTTTAGTATGTGCATTAGTAAGGGAAAACAAGTTCATCCTAAGAATTTATCCTTGTAGCTTTTTGATTATTCCTTTTCTTTACTGAGAATAATACTGTTTTATATGAGCTCTAGCACACAACACACACACACACACACACACACACACACACACACACACACACACACACACACACACACACACACACACTTATGTACACACA